GCTGCAATCCTGGGTGACGGATCTGTGGTCGCCTGGGGTAGCGCCGACTACAGTGGCGACAGCAGTGCGGTACGGCATCAGCTGCGAGATGTGCAGCAGATCCAAGCTTCTGAATATGCCTTTGCTGCAATCCTGGGTGATGGATCTGTGGTCATTTGGGGACGGCCCGACTACGGTGGCGACAGCAGTGCGGTACAGGATCAGCTGCGAGATGTGCAGCAGATCCAAGCTTCTTATGGTGCCTTTGCTGCAATCCTGGGTGATGGATCTAAGTAGTGGTCACCTGGGGTAGGGCCGACTTTATGCTTTGATTGGCGAAACAGTCATTGGCTTACTTACCATTCATCAAATGCATGTCAACGCTTCTCAGTGGCGACAGCAGTGCGGTACAGCATCAGCTGCGTGATGTGGAGCACATCCAAGCTTCTGTTGGTGCCTTTGCTGCAATCCCGAGCGATGGATCTGTCGTCACATGGGGGGATGTCGACCATGGTGGTGACAGCTGCGCCGTACAGGAGTAGCTGCCTGATGTGCGACAGACGCTTTCTTCGAAATGTGAGAAGCAAACTGCGCGCCCCTGGTTTTGATGGACCTAGGACCCAGTAATTCACGTTTGCCGTGCGTTCTTGGTATCCTTATTCATGGAACTAAACATGGGAAAAGGTGCAACATCCATTGTGTTCTATTACATATAGGTTCGCCTAATGGCACTATGTTGGGTTTTAATAAGGTGACTGTTAGTGTTCTATAGCTTTGGTTTGGAGCTTTCGGGTACAAGACTACCCATCAAAGGCACACGCGATTCTGCAACACAACACACGGTCCATCTGAGTATATAGTACATATATGAGAGTTGTTCTAAACCCCCAGTTTTCTTTGAGCCGCACCCAGGCTTCTGCAACCCTGCACTGAGCCCCCAAATTCTTGGCCTTACCTTGCATGCTTGGCAGGAGTTCAGCAACGACCTACAATGCGACAGGCACATCCGCAGTAGGCTCATCTAGGAATGCTTGAACAAACAGAGCCAGCTGGAGTCTTGAGACCCAGATGACGAGACTAGTGAAATCCTGTTGCGAATCGCGCTCGAGTCGTATTCGTTCTTGACCCAGCTCCCCCAATCAAACGCATTGGAATCGTATCATGTTTGCGCATTGACAACGTATCAAACCGTAAGAAGGGGAACGGCCGCGCCATGGGCATCCTACAGGGTTTCTTCTGTCAGACCCGTAAATCCTGAAACCCTAAATTAAAACCCTGAACTGTAAAACGCTAAAGCCCTAGACACTAAACCCCACCACAACTAAACCCTGAAACCCGAAACCGCAAAAAGCTAACCCAAAGGGATTTAGGGTTTCTGGCCTATATGGTAGACTGTAGGGTTTCTGCAATACTATAGAATTACTGTTTGGGCGAGTGTCCCCCATATAATAGAGGTACTTACGCTAAACACCCTACACCCTAAACCCTATACCTTGAACGCTAAACCCTAAACCCTATACCGTAAACCCACAAACCCTAAACCCTAAACCCTATACCGTAAACCCAAAAACCCTAAACCCTAGACCCTAAACCAAAAACCCTAAACCCTAAACCCTTAGGGCCCTTTTCGTAAAGCTCTCCTGCTCAGGGTCAAAGCGCCTCGGCGACTCCCTGTGGACACTGAGGCCAGAAGAGCGTTGGGGGGTTTAGGGTTTAGGGTTTAGGGGTTTACGGTTTTTTTGTGGGGTTTTGGGGTTAGGGATTATAGGGTTCAGCGGTTTTTGGGTTTTGGGGTTAGGGGTTATAGGGTTCAGGGGTTTTTGGGGTGTAGGGTTTTAGGCTTTGGGCTTTAGGGCCTTGTAAGGTTTGGCCGGTTTAGGCTTACAGAGCTTTCGGTTGTTCATTGTTCAGGTGTTTAGGGCTTATAGGGTATTTGGCGTAGTCGATTTAGGGGTTTCGGGTTTGGGGGTTGCTTTTGAGAGAGGAGCCGATGGCTGTGTTTGGTTTTCCGAGTTTTTTTTGTGCTAGGTTTTGACAGCCCAGCAGGTTCTACAAGGGTTTGTACAAGGATTGCCTACCCGGGCTTGATATACTCTAGAAACGCTTTATGTGTTTCTTGTGCAGGACGTGCAAAAAGCTCGCTAAGTTGATAATTATACGAGCTTTGATGATGCTGTAGCAGAAGTTATGCTGACGTTGCAAGATGCCGTGATCCCGGTGATGTTTGGCTCTAGCATGTACTTACATGTCGCGTCCAGCTCTGAGGCATTCCGGGCAGATGCGCTGTCTTTCGCTTTGCTTCATCGCCTGCCTTTCGTGTGGCTCCGGTCTTGACTGCTCTGGCATCCGAGAATGCGGCACCTGCGCAGTCGCTAGGCAAGGCTTCGACCGATGCGGCTGGTGCGGAACATCATCTAAGGGGAGCTGTACAAATGGTGATGCCTTCGGTCCTACAGCAGGAAAGTGCGACCGAGAATGCTGGTTCGCTGGTAGTATTAATGCCGCCAAGTGCCCAGGAAGCTGTGAAGGATCCACCTGCAGCGAATGTGTGGCCTCAAAGAACTGCGTGTGGTGTGCCAGCACGCAGACATGTGGTGCCAAAGTGGGCGCTTTTGGGGAGATGTGCATTGGGCAAAAAGAAGTATCCTGCAAGAGCTCTGAATGTGCGAAAACTCGTGACTCAGAGTACTGCCCCAAGGTCAGTTGCTCGTCCTTGGCGAATTGCCATGCTTGTGCGAAAGAGGGTGGCTGCGCATGGGATGCGAAGAACTTGAAATGCGTGGAGCGAGCGAGAAGTGCATTCAACACAGCTTGCGAGAGCTCAGACGCCGACTCCAGCTGCCTTATCTCATCTTCCGAGAAGTGCCCTTCCACGGCCAGTGGGCTTTGCTCCGAGTACAAAGATGACTTGAAAGCTTGCCTGAGGGACCCAGCATGCGGTTGGTCCACACAGCTGTCTGATCGAGATGTCGTGGGTGGAAGTTGCGTTGAGGCAAATGTCCCTTTCGCTGCATGTCGTGGAGGCGATCTTTTCTCGTACTTTGATGCTGAGCCCCATTGCAATGCCCTGCGCAATTGCTCAGTTTGCATCGCTGAAGAGCAGGTGAGCTGCACATGGTGCTCAGGAGAGCTCCTTGACGACTACACACCACGCACCTCGCGCTGTGTCCTCAGCCGTGGTGCCATGGGAGGCACGGGTGATCGATCAGCTGCTGCTCACAAAGGACACTCCTGTGCAGCATTTTCAGATACTGCTGACAAATGCGATCACTGCAGCCAGTTCTCTACCTGCGACGATTGCATTAAAGATCCCGGTTGTGGAGCTTGCCTGGCCGCTTCTGGTAAAGCTAGTTGTGTCGAGGGCGACCGTCATGATCGATTTAGCAGCTGCCAAATGCAAGAGCCCATGAAGTTCTGGGCGCATGAGGGCGCAGGGAGTGGGCAAGGATCCCAGTGTATGAACAGCGATGTTTGCCGCATGGCCACCTCATGTCCACAGTGCCAGGCCATTCCACCCTCCCACGGCCTCGACTGCGTGTGGTGCAACAACTCAGTGCCACTACAGTCTGCGCCCGCCGAGAGCTCTCCATGCCGAAGGAGAGACCTTTGCCCCGCCCAGAGTCGTCATCCGAATGGCGAGTGTGCCCCGAGCATGCTGGCGCCCTTCTGTTCCAGCTACAAGTCATGCAGTGAATGCATTGCCCAGCACACCTGCGCATGGGCGCCCGCGGAGGGCTGCATCCGCAGCAGCAGTGCATACTCCACCTCTTTCTTGCCTTACGTCTGGGGAGATGCAGCGAAGTGCCCCGAAGTCTGTGGCAGCCACAAGGACAGCACTAGCTGCACCAAGCATGAGGGCTGTGGATGGTGCAGTCCCAGCGCCGGCTGCTTTCCTGGAGACTCCTCAGGTCCCGACTATGCTGCTTAGTAAGGCTTAGTAGCTGAGTGGGTGGGCTTTACACTTTCTGAGATATTTTTACCCCTTATACACCGGAAAGTGTACTGTTTCTTGGGCTAATGAACTCAGCAACTAAGGCTGCCACAGGGAAACAGTGCACGCCATGGTGCTATGGAAAGAAGCCCTGCAGCTCAGGTGGCTTAATCGGAGGCTTCTTGGGATTTTTGGCGGCTCTGATGAAAATCTTATTTGTGCTTGCTTTGGGAGCGATCGGTGTGGTTTGCTACCTACGCAGGCGCGAAGTCCGCGAATTCATTTCGCGATTTCGACAGGGAGGATCGAGCGGCAATGGCGAGATCGCCCTCGGACGGCTGTAGAAACGGCGGAACTATATGGCACTAGAATAATGTCAGATAGGTGTCAGGTAACCAAACGGCGAAGAGTTGAGTCCAAAGCAGATGCTGCGGAGAAGCGAGGAAGAAGAAAGCGGTTGTGGCTTGCAAGTTCTGTGCAGCACCGGCCCAGATTTCTAAACGATACAGAGGTGTCAGGAGAAGTTGTGGTTACAGATATCGCACTAATGTCCAAGTCACTTGCAAGCCGATCTATGCTTCGTAGTACTCGGAGATCAGCATCAGAGTGGGCTGAAGAGCCAGCATGTGCAGCATGAGCATCTTGCCACCCTCCCGCACCACTATAATATAGGTGCCTCAATGACTACCTACACTAGTTTTTGGGTTCCTTCTCATATTTTTAGTATTATATACGCCCAAAACCCTAGTCTAATTATGAAGGCCCTACACTCAACAACCTCGCAGGCTCTGCTAGCAACTTGGAGGCGCCGGAAGTATCGGATCTCTGGTCGGGCGGAAATGAACTCGAAGCCCCGGCAGTTGAATTGTTTTTGCCTATCTTTGTAATAAGAAAAGACATATTCTATAGAAAATTATTGAAAATATCCTTCATCACGAATGTATATAAACTTAAACCACATGACCGAAGAGCAGATATTTTTGCTTAAATCGATTATGCTGTAATTTAATTATATTTTGATGAAATCTTAAATATTTCTTTAATATTCCTATCTTATTAGAATTAATCAACCATTTTATTAATAGATATTTATAGAGAAAATAATGAATTTTCATTTTGTCTTTATAGATTTTTTCGATTTCTTATTTTATATTTGAAGATAATGGCTGTATTGAATATTTACTTATAATTTTTAACGATGTTTGAAAGTTTGCTTTATAAATTATGTCTGTAGTTTATATAAGATCGGCAAAATAATAGAATTTCAAGGATATATGTAGAATTTATTAGAATAGGTATTAAAATAGCATATATTTCGGATAGAAGATATATTCTTTTATGATAATTTGTTGGGAGATTGAAATATCTTTTATTTATTATTCTGAATATTGAAGATTTTATATCGCGGTAAGTGAATTTTGGGATAATATTACGAAAATATTTGAATATCTAATGAATTTAAAATTGATGTATTTTAATTGATCTATAGAAAATGAATTTTTATTTTATTTCTATTAATTTGAAATCTAAATAATTTGAATGTCGATTTTCTATTGAATCTACCGCGTGGATATTATCCAATTTGAATAAATTTTTGAATATTATTTCTTTATTCGTTTAAATTAGAAGGGGTTGGAATTCGATTTATAAGATTATTAGTAAATTGAATATAATATGATATATAGCAGATTTATGGAGCGAGATTATTAAAATATTTATTGAGAAGTGATGAGCTGCAAATTTGAATTTAAGATTGGAAAAAAATTAATAGATTAAATGAAAATTTTAAAGAGGTTTGTGGAAATTTATTGAAATTAGATATAATAATTCGTCGTTATTTCTCATATTATTATTGAAAGAATTTTATTAGAAAGAATTTAGAATGAATAAAAAAATTTTAAAATTCAATGATGATGGAATATATAATATGTTTTGAAATTCGAATAAAAATAAATGAAAAAATATCTCATTTATTCTAATGAATTTAAAAAAATTTGGAAATTTCATTAAATAGATAAATAGATCTATTAAAAATATATAAATATGATTTTTTTGATTGGATCTACGCCCTATTTTCATTGAATGATTTATAATTATTTTCTTTTTTGAATACGTAATCTAAGAAAAGAATATAATGATTTATATATGATTTGAAGAATTTGAAAATTTTCAAATCTAATTAGATTTATAAATATTGATTTCTAAAATATATATTTATCTTTATCGGATCCGTCTTATTTATCTGCAAAATTCAGTTTTTTTTGTTGCTAAATATGTCTTCTTCTATTCCTTCCAAAGCCCACATTTTGGATTATGTAAATTTCTGCAGTGACGAGCCAACATTAAATATGGAGAATATATAATAGAAGCAAAATAATTGTTGGTAAGGGCGATCTTACGTTGAATTATTAGAGCGGCAATCTTAAATATAAGAAATATATCTCGATATTTATATGTTGACAAAAAATACGTCCGTTATATTTGATTAATTGTATATTCTATTTTATAATCTAGAAATATTTTTTCCGAATATAAATAAAGATCTCCCAAAAAAATGCTCTAAAATTTAATTGCTTTTATCAGACTACGGATTATAAATATAAAAAATTTCTATGATAATGTAGAATACGCTCTATAAATCCAGATCGTAAGGCTTCATATGAGTCTGTTAGGAGGATCGCCTTCGTTAAAGAGACAAGACCGAGGGACAGGATATTCTCAGATAATTGCTATGACGTTTCATCAAAGCAGTTGGAGTCCAAGCTGCACGAACTTCTCATTGGTTTGAATTGCACAGGAAGGCCAAGAACAAATTAAGCGAATATGTGTCAGAGTCAGCTTGCCACTTCAACGCGCCCAACAGGCGACTCGCATCTGATGCTTCCACTACGATTCATTGTAAGATCTCTTTCGCTAGTGTTGGCACCGATCGTATATGCTGATAATAATTGAATTTTATATAATAAAATATATAAGATAAATAATAAAATTAGAGCTTCCCAATATAAATCATAATAAAATCAAAAATCGAAATTATGAATCGGATTAGAAATTCCTGATTTTCAAATCGTTAATCAAATCATATCAAATATATTTGATATTCGTCAAAAAGTCTTAATATGATAAAATTTTCATATTATTGATTCAATTTAATTATGTAATCTGTAAAATTAGAATTCAATTATTTCTATATTTCTATAAATTTGAATTTCTTGAATCTTCATATTAAATAATAGAATATTATTTCATATTCTCTAATTAGCTTATAAAATCTATCATCTATATATTATAAAATTCTAAATTTGATGCCTTAATAGCCATTAAACTACTTCTAATCTGCTAGGAATGATTGGAATTTGCAATCATAACCTAATTCCAAAGATGGAAATATTGCACACATCATTCATCAAGATTTAAGATATATTAAAACCAATCTTTCTTCTACAGATTATTTAATTTAAGATAAAATCTAAATAGTAAAGTAATTCTCTTTTATTTTCGATATTGATATATAATTATTATGGATAGATTAAGATTTATATATCATATTTCTTATCATAAATATCAAGAAGCATTTTTATCAATATTTTATCGATAATATCCAGATCTATACTCTCTAAAGATATCAAAAATTTTAGACAATTGTTACCAATCTTACGAACAGACTTCCGGCCCGGAAATCCTTAATCCATATTTTTTGAATGTAATTTCTAGAAATTATCTCTAAATCGAAAAAGAATCATAGAGAAACCCATTCAAGAAAATATATATTTAGATCGCAAATTCATTACGAAATATTTTAAAATCATAATAAAAATAGATTTTGAAATCTATTATGTTATTCGATAAATTTCAAAATTTATCGAAAATTGAATAAAGAAGAAGAAAAAATTCATTCTATCGGTTCAAAATAAAATTGTATCGATAATACGAATATCATTTTTTATATAAAGATATGAGTTCTGTATTGAAAAATGAAATAATATCAAGATTTTCTTGAAATTTGTTTTTATTACAAATCAATTTGTACTTATTATTTGAATTAATTAATATCTCATATCAAAGCAATTAGCGAAAAAATCATATCTATTTTTCTTAATATGAAAAGAAATATATCAAACCGTCGAATTTATAATTAGCATGTAAGTGGAATAGACCATACAGCGTGCCGAAGGTTTCCAAAAAGCGGTACATGCTAGACAACACAGATGGCAACTAGTTACGATCTGTATTTTCCCAAGCATATCGAACCACCGGTACTAGTATTGTGGGTGATGACTCTGCCCCTCATAGCACGGAGCAGCACAAATGGCAACTGGTTCCGATCTTTTGATTCCCTAGCATGCCAAACCCCCACCCGGGGCGGTCGTGGCTTACTGATCCTACTGCAAGCATCTCCTTCTGTAACGATGAAAACCTATTTGCTGGCCATAATCCCATGCCATCTTTTAGCCGCATCTGCTGCGTCATCGATTTTCTGCTGCTTGCTGGGCCACCCGGCAGAGGAAAGTCGATACAAATAGTGACCTTGTGGTTCAAAGGTGAGAGTTCGAGGTGTAGATTATGGTGTAGGTGAATTCAGTGTCTTGGGTTTCGGAATTACCTTCTAGATGGGAGGAGGTGCGGCAATTTTGGTTGTGCTGTGGTCGTGACCATGGAGTTCAGGCCTGCGGCTTGTCGGGGATCAAGAGCTTGCCTTGCTGGCCTACTACGAAGCACTCGAGATTGCAAGGTCGTGTGTAAATATCACGAACCGAGAGCAGTTGTAGATTTGCTTGAGGTTACATGCTCATTGTATTTTTGGGGGGCTTTGGATTTAAGTTTGAGGTTCGAAACAACCCTCTGTGACCTTCTCGACAACATTCTACTGCAGCGTGTGTAAGCGAGAATGGAGGTTTTAGAAATGAAGTCTGAAGACGTAGACAGGCAAGGACAGCAATCAATATGTCCAGGACGACGAATCGTATGTTTGTCTCCGTGCTTCTTGTCGCAAAAAGGAATATTCGCAGACTAAGCCGGCTCTGAGGCGACTTCTTCGGACAATGCTTGGCACGAGATCCATGCCAGAAAAAGTGAACACGACACATCATAACAACGACGTAAATTATCCGCGATCGTTGTCATGGTTTCAAGATCTTGGGTTTTTTCTCGGCGGGATGTTAGGTGATTGTAGTTTCTTTGTTTTGGTTAGCCATATTTTTGCCCAAGATCTTGCTCGTAACAAAGCACCAAGTAGCCCGACAAGGAATTTCAATGAAGACACTACAGCAGCAGGCTAACAAGGGTGAGGCTTGAGGTCGGGGCTTGAAGCTATGGATTTGTCGGATGTAGGACATATGCTGTA